TTGTCACACAGGTTCTGTGGCTCTCATGTCCATTCTGCGACAGAAGTATTGGATTCTATCATGCAGAAGAATCGTTAGAAGTTGCATTCATAAGTGTAACTTTTGCTTTAAGTTAAATCCTAAACGTACTTATCCCATGATGGCTGATTTGCCAGCTTGCAGAGTGAATGAAACTAAAGCATTTACCCACACTGCTGTGGACTACTGTGGTCCTATAAATATAATTCCCTATAGAAAGCGTGGAGTCCGTTCCATAAAATGCTATCTGTGCGTGTTTGCATGTTTGGTTACACGAGCTGTGCACGTAGAAGTGGCATCTGATTTAAGTACTAACGCTTTCTTATCTGCATTCAAACGTTTTTTATCTCGCCGTGGTGCAGTGTCTTGCATGTATTCTGACAGGGGATCAAACTTTATAGGTGCTAAAAATAGTCTTTCTGAATTATATAAATTTTTAGAATCTGAAAACTTCCAATCATCTTTTGCCAATGAACTTGTTAATCACCGTATTGAGTGGAAGCTTAACCCTCCGCGCAGTCCACACTTTGGTGGTCATTATGAAATTTATATAAAGGCATTTAAAACGCATCTTTACAGAGTAATAGGTACTCAACTGCTTACATATGAGGAGTTGTTAACTGTGCTTACGCAGATTGAATGTGTAATAAATTCAAGACCAATTACCCTGCTTAGTGATGATCCATCGGAACCTAGCGCGTTAACGCCTGCACATTTTTTAATGTCCAGCCCATTAAAACAATTGCCGACTTATGACGTATCATTAGATTCAAACAATTTACGTAACAGATACTCTTTAATGGACCAAATGTTACAATCTTTCGCAAAACGATGGAAGCAAGAATATTTACATTTACTTCAATCCAGAACAAAATGGAATACTAATTCTAATCCAATCTGTATTGGTTCTGTAGTAGTCATTGTTACTGATAACGTTTCCCCGCTTCATTGGCCTCTTGGTGTCGTTGTTGCTACTCACCCAGGCAAGGACGGTGTCATAAGAGTTGCCTCTGTGAAGACTTCCACAGGCGTTTATAAACGACCCGTCGTTCGTCTTTGCACTCTACCATCTCAATAGCTTAACCATTAATCAAATTGTCCTTTCCCCGCTGTTCATATTCGCTTACTAGTTCTTTAAAACCGAAGGTTTTAAGGCGGGGGGCAATGTTCATGCCAACCTTAGGCATTCATAGTTCATAGATTTAACTTTTCATTTTCTACCCACTTTTAGTTTATAAGAGTTACCGCTCGATATATCGCTGCATTCTACAGTCTACGAATTGACGGCGACTCAACCAGATGCGTACTCGCTAATCCTGGTTTTCCCGCTTTCTGGAACTTTCTATATTCGAAAGACTGCTATTCTTAGGGTTTATACTCTTTATGAACCTACCGCTCGTGCTGTGAACATAGTGCTGTGTTTTTCAGTGCTTAAAACATACGCTGTTGTGAAGTGAACGCTTAATTATCCGCTGTCTTGGCTGATATTAGCCGAGGCTGGTCCTTCATTATCTCGCTAAATCGTCGTGGGCTGTTGAGGCTGAGGAAGAAGTCTGCAGTGACATTACCCGGGTAGTGCCGGGTCAGTGCGGTTGCTGAAGGTGAGTTGCTGTTTTACTTTCGTGGTAGTAGTGTGCAGCGATTCCCGTAGGATATCTATCTCCTCTTCAACAGATAAGTAAACTTATACTACCTATGGTGATACCCAAATTAGTGCTGGGTAGAATCTACGAACCTTATTGCTAGGTTTAGCGCCCACACCTAGTATCCCATAACACAAGCCTTATAGTGCTTACTTTGGCTAGGGTAATTGGTGTGAGTGTTGGAAATATTTATTTATTTATTTACTTTCTAGAATGCATCGATCGGCGTATATAAGGGCGATTGGCGCCGCGCAGAGACAGTTGAGTTTCAACAGCGATTTCGGAGCGAATCCAAAGGCAATCAAAGTGCAACAAAAGTGTTCAAGTGAGATTGTTTAGAGACTTGTATAGTGAAATACAGTGTTTAGTGAGTGTTTTGTATTGTGTGTTAATTGTGTGAACTGTGTGGTGAATAAAGAACTGTCAATCGTAAACTGGCATATAATTTCGAACCGTATCCCAACACCTAACAATACCATTAAAAGGTCAATTTTATTTATCAGCCACAATATTTAGCTTAGAGTTTCTAGTCCGTTCTTAGTAAAAGGCATTTCTGGCGATTTTAAAAAGGGTTTGCATATTCTTTTAATTTTTTTATAAACGTTTTTGACATTGCATAATATAAGACGCATCTAATATGAATAAAATGATTTTTGTACTTGTGAATTTTATTACTATTAAATAATGTGTTCCCAAGTTCCTATCAACTCCAACGCTTTGATTTATAAATTGTTTAAAGACGATACCAGTAAGTATGTATCCTAAACGTATATTCCAACATGGTCACCCTTAGAAAGAGATAACAAACATATGTGACGTCATTCAAGGCCATATTTTTTCACTTCAAGGTATTGTTTGCACTGCAATCTCCAGTGTTGTATATAAGCTTCTTGATTTCTGACAACGATGTGACATATATCCTTAGATTAAAACAAAAGGGAAGATATGTCATTCGCGGCTCAAAAGTGAACCGCTTAAATTGTGGTGCCTGACCACAATTCGCTTTAGTCACAATTTGACATTCAAACACGCTGCATTGCACTAAATATAACAAAATTGCGTATATTCTGTGTTATGGAGATAAAACAATGCCTTCGATGCTTTTATAAAGAACATAAATAGTTCAAAATCAAGTAACAAATGCCTCGGCAACACTTTTCATTAGTAAAACTGAAAAAACATGTTTTCTCAGAAATCACGGTTTGTCATGAAGGCTATTTACGTAATCACCTTTTTTATCATGAAAAGGACAACAAGACAGCACAACCGTACGGACTCAGAAGCGGACTCGTCGTTTCGCTCGCGCTGCGTTGAAGCGTATAGTTCTGTCTCGCTCGCTCGATTGAATGTTTATATACAGACGTATGCGTGTGTGAGAGTTGCTTATATAATTGAGTCGGAGCATATTTTATTTGATGCTAGTATGAGCGTATCGATTCTTTCCTTTTTGTTTTAATCTTAGCATATATCATTTGAAAGCTTGTTTTATGCAATAACATGAACCGGTTATTATATATTTTTATTTAACCCCGATTAATTTTATATGGTATTGGAAAATTGAACAATTTCGTAAGGACACTGGCCAGCCAGTCATACTTTAGTCCCTTTTTTATTCTGTGGCAGCTTATAGGTATAGTCAACTCAGTCACTATGTCAAATACAATCAGTCCAGTTATACATGATCTACATAAAATTGTGCCTAAAAGTTATTTTATGATTGACTGTTTTTGAAATAAAATATCCACAAAATACCTAATAATAGAATGAGAGATGAACAGAATAATAGGGTATTTGAGAGTGTTAAAAATAAAGTGCCCCTTGTTAGCATCTGTGCTTAGAATGAATATTGGCAGTGGTTTTTACTATTTTTACAAAAAAAATATTCATAATTTTACTAAAAACCCACGAAAAAGATAATCGTTTTCTTGTCTATTGTCACGTGACCCAAAACGCTTGTTATTGGCGGAGCCTAAAATGACGTCACTTGCAAGTAAACTTCCGGTTAAAGTGACATGACATTGTATCGTTTGACGTTTTAATAACAGTCGTGTGACGTCACACACTAGTAAGACGCCATATTGTCCAGAGAAACGTTTTCGCGGCAACTTGAAAATGGAGTTTTTGATATGGTTATTTTTACTTAAATACACAACAGAATGATGAATATCTACTTTTTACGGACTCCATAAACATTAGTCAATAACGTGAGATCGTTTTCTAAAACTTGTCAAATACCCTATTATCGCTTAAGTTACCTATTGAATATAATATATTTGATGTTTTGTCAACAAACTAGAGATAAAAAAAACTTGCGATTTGCCAATAAATAATTTTGTAATTATAATCACCACTTTGAATAATACAGGGTTAAAATAAATTCTAGTGTTTTGTCAAAAGATTTTTAATTAAGTGCACTACATGTCATACAAATTTGGAGTCTGCCAGTGACTCACTACCCACCTCCATACAAATTTGCACTGTCTCCTTTGACATCAAATATTGTCCAAAACTAAGTAGATTTAAGAATGTGTTAGTGAAAGCTCGTATTCATTTCTTATGTAGAAAGAATAGAGTACATTTTATAATTTTTTTCATAATTTTTGAAACTTCAGTAAAAATCAGTTTTTTGACGTTGTCGAGGCATATAGTATATGTAGTGCCACTGCACTACATATACTATATTGTTCACCTTCAGTCAATATGTGTATGTATATCTTCATGGAGCATATTAGAACTGGCGCCAGTTGTTTGTGTTAGTGTAGTGCAGTGAGTGTAGTGTAATGCCGCTCACTTTTATTCAGTAAGTGTATGTATATTTTCATGGAGCATTTAGGATAGGCGCCAGTTGTTTGTGTTAGTGTAGCGCAGTGAGTGTAGTGTAGTGCCGCTCACCTTTATTCAGTAAGTGTATGTATATATTCATGAAGCATTTAGGACAGGTGCCAGTTGTTTGTGTTAGTATAGTGCAATGAGTGTAGTGTAGTGCCGCTCACCTTTATTCAGTATATTATGTATATCTTCATGGAGCATATTAGAACAGACGCCAGTTGTTTGTGTTAGTGTAGTGCAGTGTGCAGTGAGTGTAGTGCAGTGTATAGTGCCGCTCACCTTCAGTCATATGTGTATGATAATCTTCATGGAGCATATTACAACAAGCGCCAGTTGTTTGTGTTAGTGTAGTGCAGTGTGCAGTGAGTGTAATGCAGTGTAGAGTGCCGCTCACCTTCAGTCAATATGTGTATGATATTCTTCAAAGAGCATATTAGAACAGGCGCCAGTTGTTTGTGTTAGTGTAGTGCAGTGTGCAGTGAGTGTAGTGCAGTGTATAGTGCCGCTCACCTTCAGTCAAGATGTGTATATATATCTTCATGGAGCATATTAAAACGGGCGCCAGTTGTTTAACGCTGTCGAGGCACCGGGTTAAAGTGTCCGCGTGTGGTGGATGAGTTAATTCGGCAGCTCGAGCCGCTACCTGTTTAATTTAATTCAAATACAATATCAGTTACAAGCACTTATAAATATCATGCTACGACTAAGGTGAGACATATTTTATTGAGAATCACCGGCAACAAACTCAGCAAGGGATGTTTTCTTAGCTTTGTAACATTGTTATATCCAAGACTTTCACTAATTCATTTCTGCTTATCTTCACGCCGATTCCCGGGTGAGGTAAGCAGAGAGAATAGAGCGCCATAAGACACATTCGGCCTTACCACAAAACGTAGACTAAAGTTAAACCTCGGCTATAACTGCTGCTGTCATTTGTATTCTTTTTATTATAAATAGGTCCGACGAATGACTCCACCCCACCTGATGTTAAGTGACGGTGAAGTCCAGACGCGAAGATAGCTGATACAGCAGTTCTACCTGCCACACCAGCTATCCTCACCCTGCCGGCCTGCATGTTGCTTCTTCACGCCTCTTTTAAAGGATCCCAGGTTGTCGGAAGGAGGGAACACGTGAGTAGGATGAGCATTCCATTTACAGACAGTGCGACAAAGAAATGAGTCACCAAACTTCTTTGTATGCGTTGTAATAGTGGCCACAGTTAGTCGGTGGCAACGTTGTTTGTTTGCTAAAGAGATAACAAAGACAATATTAGGTTTTGACCAAGACTCACTTTATTATAACTATAATTGCTATTTCTTCTTTCAAATGTTTAATACTTGTAAAAGTATTCATTTGACATTGTGCGTTACCTATAATGCGAAGAGATGCGCTGCCTTGAAGCTCAAGAATGGCTAGAAAGAATTTCGAGGGCCGCGGTAGTATAATTGGTCAGTGCATTCGTCCGGATTGCGAAGGATGTGGGTTCGAGTCCCGTCTGCTGCCTGGTCCGTGTGGAATTTTTTCTAGTTATATTTTCTTTAGATCAGAGAAAAATCAAGCAGTTACATGCTTTAAAATAATAAAAATTAAAGACTCACTTTAGTTCGCGTTTTGTTGTAAGGGGGGTCGAGTCCTTTCTATGGGTACCTAGGTAGCGACTAGTATTCATATATTAGCATTTTCTACGTTACAAGCTTAATGAAGTGAAACTTCTTTTCGGACGGGCTATAAATAATAATAATAATAAATATTTCCAACACTCACACCAATTAGCCTAGCCCCAAAGTAAGCACTATAAGGCTTGTGTTATGGGATGCTAGGGTAACGGATAGAATACATATATTGTACATATATAAGTATATTTATATAGAAATACATATTAAACATCCATGACTGGAGTACAAATGCTCGTATTCATCACACAAACATCTGCCCCCACCGGGATTCAAACCCACGACCTCTCGAGTCGGCGACACCATGAAACCCGGCGTACAAACCACTCGGCCACGGAGGTCGTCAATATATCTATACATGGAAAATAATAGTGAACGGACCGTGACAACGTGACATAGCTGAAGTGAAACTTCTTTTCTTAAATAACCTAAGCAGCGTAAACATCACTCATATATGAGGCCAAGAGAACCATAGTGGCCTAACTCATTTTTTTACAATATTTATTTATTTTATTTATCTAATATATAAAATTCTCGTGTCGTGGTGTTTGTGGTTAAACTCCTCCGAAACGGCTTTCCCGATACTCATGAAATTTTGTGTGCATATTGGGTAGGTCTGAGAATCGGACAACATCTATTTTTCATCCCCCTAAATGTTAAGGGTAACTCCCCCCCCCCTAATTTTTTTTTCAATTTTAGATTATTTTTTTTATTTTTTTATGATACCTACATCGTACAAAAATAAATAAAACCCAAAATTTTCGCCCTTCTACCACCAACCCCTATTTTTTTATGGCGGTACGAAGTTCGCTAGGTCAGCTAGTATACTTATATATGTACAGTATAATATGTATTCTATCCGTTACCCTAGCATCCCATAACACAAGCCTTACAGTGCTTACTTTGGGGCTAGGCTAATTGGTGTGAGTGTTGGAAATATTTATTTATTTTATTTATTATTTATATAAATATGTTACCTCTCTGGCAGCCCGGGAGAGGGCGGGCGAGATGTCCCTCAGGAACTGCACGAGGTCCTCCATGGTGTCGATCACCTCCGCCACGCCCAGGTAGTCTAGCACCTACAACACTACTGCTAGCAATACCGGACGCTACTAATGGCATATTAATCAATACCCCAAATGGACAATAGGGGTGATGACGGGGTACAGTAAACGAAATTCTATTTAGTCCGTCAGTTAGATGATCAAAAAATAATGGACACGTATTTTTTCTTTGGGCAATCAACCAAAAAATGACAAAGTTATAGCGCGTCAAAGTTTGGGAGTAGGGGCTCGTGACGTCACTTTTGAGTGAATTTTCCCTTATAAGTGTACTCAAACGTGACGTCATGCGACTTTTCAAATCAATATATCTCTGCAATGTTTATATTATGTGAAAAAAGAAAAAATACGTGTCCAATACTTTTTGATATTAATCTACCTGATAAACGAAGAAAAAAAAATTAGTCATCAGCCCTATTCAGTTTATCTGCATTAAATAGGGTACAAATAATGGTGTTACATTTCATCTAAATAGGGTATTTGACAAGTTTTAGAAAAAAATATCTAAGTACGATTGTTAGTTGTTTAACACAATATAATAATAAGGAACAAAAAATTTTGGTCGCCAACCAATCTATTGGAATTAAAATTTTCTGTTAATTTTTTTCATAAATCTTAAGTTAAATTCTCATTACGAAATTGAATAAAACACGTTTCAACGGTATAGATGCACTGATTTATTTATTAATGACGTTTCGCAGCCTTTTCAGGCGTCGTCGTCAGAATAGGGTATTTGACAAGTTTTAGAAAACGATCTCACGTTATTGACTAATGTTTATAGAGTCCGAAAAAAGTAGATATTCATCATTCTGTTGTGTATTTCAGTAAAAATAACCAAATCAAAAACTCCATTTTCAAGTTGCCGCGAAAACGTTTCTCTGGACAATATGGCGTTTTACTAGTGTGTGACGTCACACGACTGTTATAAAAACGTCAAACGATACAATGTAATGTCACTTTAACCGGAAGTTTACTTGCGTGTGACGTCATTTTAGGCTCCTCCAATCCCAAGCGTTTTGGGTCACGTGACAACAGACAAGAAAACTATTATCTTTTTCGTGGGTTTTTAGTAAAATTATGAATATTTTTTTTGTAAAAATAGTAAAAACATCTGCCAATATTCATTCTAAACACAGATGCTAACAATTGGCACTTTATTTTAATACTGTCAAATACCCTATTAAAAGGATGCGAAACTTCATAAATAAATAAATCAGTGTAGCTATACCGTTAAAACTTGTTTTATTTTATGAGTGGTGTGCGTGAAAACCTAAGAAACAAATATAATATGACTTTGAATAGATACAAAATTATATTGCAGTAATTACAAAAATAATAGTACATTACGATACGCGTGACCTAAGTTGCCTATTACTGCACGGCGTGAAGTTAGCGCCCGAGCGGAGCGAGGGTGCTAAACGCCGTGCAGTAATAGACAACTTAGGCCACAAGTATCGTATACTATTTTATAGCAAGTGTGACATAAACCTGGACGCGGGCAAGAGGGGGGGAGGGGGGGTGCGATTAGTGTTTTGAAAGTAAAATTGATGTATTGCAATCACAAAGAATTGCAATACAGACTGCAAGTCAAACTCTGAAAAGAAAGAATTCCGGTTCAGATTACCATTTTGAAAGTATATTTCAAAAGGAAAAAATCAAATATCATTACAACAAAATAGAATTTCAATGTATCCATGAACGTTTATTGGCATAGTAAAGTTAAGTTACGCGTTCAGAAATAGGTAACTTAGGTCACGGAAAAGCGTGCGTAAAGTGCGGGTTTAGGTCACACTGTGCTATAAAAGTATTTTTTGTCTACAAGTTTAAATTTTGCTTATTTTAGCCTATCATATCTCAAAATGATGTGCACAAAAAATGATTGCATACCATACTATTAATGATAATTATTATACACTGACCTGCAGAACTAAGTACCTCATTTCTAAAATTTCAATATTTCCTAAACTGCATAAGTTATAAATTTCAAATAAAAACACATTTTATAGCAAATTTTATCAGATTTCTATGAAAGTGTAGTACAAAATTAAACTCTTTTTCGAGTCGTTTTTATTTCAGGACTGTGCTTTGTGTACTTATTTATTTATTTATATATTCTGTACACACAAAAATAGATACAGGAGCAACTTAATCAAAGATAACATGTATTACGAGGGCACAACTTATTTCAATCTGAAATTTCTTGCAGTAGGCCTGTAGTAGGAAAGAATATATGAAATGTGATTAATGAGTTATTGGAATTTTAAAAGAGTGATACTTAAATAAAACAAGTATCAACGGGTTAGATGCACTGATTTTATTTATTTATTGACGTTTCGCATCCTTTGCAGGGGGCCATTCGCCTAACGGAAATGCTTTGGAAAACGCTAACGCTTTCGATTTTATTATGTTATTTCTGACCGCCGAAGGATTTCAAATACCTCACGCTCATTTTCTTTAATATTGTTATTACCAATGCAAAAGGAAAAAAAGAGCGCGAGGCATTTGAAAACCTCAGGCGGCTAGAAATAACAAAATGAAATCGTAAGCGTTAGCGTTTGCCAAAGCATTTCCGTCGTCGGAATAATGTGTTTTTTTTATGAGTGAAGTGCGTAAAACCTAAGAAACAAAAAAGTGATACTTAATTTAGCAGTCCAGTGTAGTGTTAGCAATCCACTCTCCATGTATCCTATGGTATCGATTGACTAGTAAGAAATATAATAATCTTTACTCTAAGCCAGTGGTGAGCAAACTTTTTGAATGGCGGACCATAAAATTTATGAAATTCTTAAGGAAGGCCTTTAAGGTTGAAATAGGGTATTTGACAGTAATAAAAATAAAGTGCCAATTGTTAGCATTTGTGTTTAGAATGAATATTGGCAGGGGTTTTTACTAATTTTACAAAAAAAAACATTCATAATTTTACTAAAAACCCACGAAAAAGATAATCGTTTTCATATCTATTGTCACGTGACCCAAAACGCTAGGGATTGGCGGAGTCTAAAATGACGTCACACGCAAGTAAACTTCCGGTTAAAGTGACATTACATTGTAACGTTTGAGGTTTTAATAACAGTCGTGTGACGTCACACACTAGTAAGAGGCCAAATTGTCCAGAGAAACGTTTTCGCGGCAACTTGAATATGCGAGTTTTTGATTTGGTTATTTTTACTGAAATACACAACAGAGTGATGAAAACCACTTTTTACGGACTCCATAAACATTAGTCAATAACGTGAGATCGTTTTCTAAAACTTGTCAAATACCCCATTGACATATGACTAACAGTCATATACAGGGTGTTACAGAATTCCGAAATAAAATTTGTAGGTATGTATTCCGAAATAAAAATTTGTAGGTATCTGAGCGGTGCGCAGGGGCGCCTGGGGGAGAGAGGGGGTCTGTTTAGGTAGTAGTAATCGTACGCATTTATAGGGTTGTCATAGGCAGGTGTAAAACGATATTTTTATTAATTTGATTAGAAAATAAAAATGGTCTGAAAGGCGTCAAACTTTCGTAGGTAATTCTATACAAGGAACACAACCAAACCCTAAAGTTTTATTTCGGACTTTTGCCACACCCTGTATATCAATTTCAACTTTTATACCTACTTTTTGACATCCAATCTTCGAAAGTAATTTTTTTCAGACCATATAATATCCGTTAGCGGGCCGGATGTGGCCCGTTGGCCGTACTTTGCCCACCAATGCTCTAAGCTAACAGGTAAACTTTAAATATAGCAAGTCTTTCGTGATATATAGCTAAACAACAAGCCTTTGAGTTGTGTGTATCAATCATCCAACATAGTGTGATATGGTAAATACCTTTTTGCATTCCTTCACAATTTTCCTAACTTCAGACTCGTCGAAGCAGAGCAGAAGGGCCGAAGTGCCCTGCAATATGCCGCGAGAACCTTCGATCAGCTTTTTTCTAAGAAAAACAAACATAAATCAGTAATCAGTATCGTTATATTAACTATTTTTGAAGTGAAACTTCTTTATCGGCGTTGGAAAAAAATTTACCGTCACATTTTTTTCTTCATCTTTTTTTTAAAAGAGCACTATTTACCTCATCCGAACAATTGCTTCTTCTGTCAACTTTAAAAAAAAAGTATCGACAGCAAATATTCGTGTTTCACACAAGGTAAGGTAAGGTAAGGTAAGGTAAGGTAAGGTAAGGTAAGGTAAGGTAAGGTAAGGTAAGGTAAGGTAAGGTAAGGTAAGGTAAGGTAAGGTAAGGTAAGGTAAGGTAGGTTGATATGAGATTAGCTTAAGAAGATGCTAATATACCGCGGACGCTTACGGACTGCGCCTTTGGTATTAAGCTTGATTTCAGTTTTCGTTATATATGTGTTTTAGTAAATAGTATTAGTTATTAGTATTTAGGGTTTTACTAAGTGTGTTTTATGATTTTAATAATATGAGTTTATGTTTTTCTGATATGGCTTAGTTTACGTGTTATTGAATTTTTTGAGGTTTTTAATAATGTAGAATAGGTGCTTTAAAAATAGTTCACTAGTGTCATTTTTTGTAGCTATGTCGTTGAGGTTTTTAATATTTAGATTGTGCATACTGCATAAAATATTAAGATCAGTCCTGGTGGACTGGAATCTCGGGCAAAGGTAAAGTAGGTGTTCAAAGGTTTGAGGGCTGGTACTGTCGCAAGGACAGAAAGGATCTGGTGTTATATGGAATCGGTGCAGGTACTGTTTATTATATCCGTGGCCGGTTAGAAGTTGGTAAGGTAAGGTAAGGTAAGGTAAGGTAAGGTAAGGTAAGGTAAGGTAAGGTGTAGTTATACCCCTTTAGTGGGTGAGTTTTTGAAAAATCTTAGCGCACGCCTATATATATATTTCTGGAAAGTTGCACGTAGATCATTTTTCGAAAAAAATAAGGCCATATAGAAGTTTCACTTTTTACGTGTGTACACTAGTACACATTTTTATTTTTTAAGCATTTAACTGCTAGATGTTTAATTGTAAAGAAAATTTTACTAGATAATTCCAAATTGGTAAAACTAAAATGGTAATCAATAATAACGATTAGGACCTTTAACTCGCTTTATCTCTACTCAGAAATACATATTATCTTTAAAAACTGGTCGACCAAACGTTCTTGTGCCTCAATTCTATCTGCTGGAATCTTCCATAAAAGACAAAATATCTGCTGGAATCTTCTATATAGTAATATCCAATTTCAAATCTTTAAAATAATGACATTTCCTTTTTAATATAACTGCCAGCCGTAGGCATTACATGAGCAAAGAGTTTACACAAGCAATGAGGCCGTAACGCAACGGGCGTTAGAGTACTGTCCAGTATTGTTTTGCCCGGTCATCACCTGGCAGGGCCTGAGTAAGGGTCGGCGCGCAGCATGTCAGACGCCTGCTGCAGTAGTGTCGCAGCGTTCTCCACGCGGTGTAAGGCACTCGGCATGTCTTGTCGAAGTATCACGTCGTCTGATGACTCGATGGTCTCGTGGCCCACCTGGGGATATATATATATTTTTTTTTCCGACACACACCAATTAGCCTAGCCCCAAAGTAAGCAGTATAACGCTTGTGTTATGGGATGCTAGGGTAACGGATAGAATACATATACTGTACATATTTATGTATATTTATATATATAAATACATATTAAACATCCATGACTGGAGTACAAGTGCTCGTATTCATCACACAAACATCTGCCCCCACTGGGATTCGAACCCGGGACCTCTCGAGTTGACGACAGCCATGAAACCCAGCGTACAAACCACTCGGCCACGGAGGTCGTCATTATTGTTTTAAACTTTCATGGTCACGAACATAATATAAGTTAATGTAATATAAGTTATTTACGGGATTGTTACCATGTACTATCGCGGAATTTTGCGCTCTGTCACTTGGCGAACAAAATGCTTTGAACGATTTCTGCAGTAGTTTTTACTACGCGTAAGGCCTTCGTGTCGGACGCGCCAATCCGGGCCGCCGCACAAAAGTAAAACAGAGAGCATTTCATTGATTGAATAATGAATTGAATTGCATTTGTTTTAGTTGCAATTTGTCATCCGCATCGTGATCGCGACAGCGCTAGACGAAAAAGTAAGACAGCGATAATTACATGTCTATGAATGAATTTTTACTACGCCGCTACCGCAAGCGATTATGGCATTATGGGTGACAGAGCGAGTCTTTCCGCGAGTGTACCTGTATCCTGTGGTTCGTATGTGTAAAACCGGAAATAATCAAAAAAGTGTCGTGTCGCGATCCGATACCGTAAGTGTTGTGCGTCGAGAACAGTTTCGAGTAAATAGTGAGAATGTGAACAGTGGTACGGGTATCGAACGCAATAAAAGACTTCGTCGGAGAGTATACCGATATGTCTGCCAATAACAGCCTACCCGCAATTACTTCGGTTACTCCGTGATCGTGGCACTTGCAACAGTGCCAAAATATCGGAAACTCGCTAAAAACAAGGTACATGGTAACAATCCCGTAAATCTTAAATATAAAATTCTCGTGTCGCGGTGTTTGTGGTTGAACTCCTCCGAAACGGCTTTCCCGATTCTCATGAAATTTTGTGTGCATATTGGGTAGGTCTGAGAATCGGACAACATCTATTTTTCATCCCCCTAAATGTTAAGGGTAATCCACCCCTAAATAATTTTTTTCAATTTTAGATATATTTTTTTTATTTTTTTTTATGATACAGCATTAGTAAATACATATAACCCTGAATTTTCAACCCTTTACAATCAACCCCTATTTTTTTATGGCGGTACGAAGTTCGCTGGGACAGCTAGTAACTTATATTACTACACTTAGGGATATAATTATATCATTATTATTATTTTATGTTGGCAAATAAGCTTATCGCCCGCCTGATGGTAAGCGGCCATCATAGTCTATTGACTTTTGCGATACCAAAATATCCCAATACCCTTCTCCTTGGATCCCTGGAACATTACCCATCGACAGGAAAACAACACCCCCCCCCCCCCCCCCAAAGGAAGTTAGTAAGGTGGAGTTTACTTCCCCAGATGGGAGCTCCAAATCGAGCGGGAAATCCGCTATGCCCTACCTCTCTTAAAAATTGTAATAGGGGTGATGACGGGGTACAGTAAACGAAATTCTATTTAGCCCGTCAGTTAGATGATCAAAAACTAATGGACACGTATTTTTTCTTTGGGCAATCAACCAAAAAAATGACAAAGTTATAGCGCGTCAAAGTTTGGGAGTAGGGGCTCGTGACGTCACTTTCAAGTGAAAATTGTACCAAAACGTGACGTCATGCGACTTTTCAAATCAATATATCTCTGCAATGTTTATATTATGTGAAAAAAGAAAAAATACGTGTCCAATACTTTTTGATAATCTACCCGATAAACGAAGAAAAAAAAATAGTCATCATCCTTATTATAGCAATTACACAATACGTTTTCAGTAACTACCTGACCAAAGAAGCGAAAGCTACATCTCCCAAATATACAGGAGGAGATTATGGCTCCTTACTACTTGTCGAATGCACCAGGCAGGTGCCTGGAAGACCCCAAAATTGTTTACATTATAAAGCAGCTCAGGACTGTAAGCTTATAAGGCGCAAATGCTCAGCAGCTTCCTCATCGCGCTTACGATGAGTAAATGATGTGACCGCGAGAGGTAGTGCGTTCCGAAGAGTTATATGTTGGAAGTATCCAACTGCGGGAAGTTAAGCATGACGCATCATTGGATGGCTGACCATAAAGGAGACCCGGCACTTTTCATAGAAAAAATGCTAAACTTGTATACAGTTGAATTTGGTCTCAAAATAAAGCCAAAATTATTTGCTACATAAAACTACTTTTGCCTTATTTTTAGTGAATCGTGGAAAGAAGTTATTTAATGATTAATATTTTTTGATATAGAAACCCTTTTGATGACAAACCTACGTATTTGACATTGACAGCTAGCTGCTGATGACAAATATTGCCAGAATACGTTACCCAATTATGAAACACAGATAAAAAAATTAAAAAAGTATACAACTTTGGCACAAAATGCCGGGTGTCATTTACACTCACTACTCTACACCTTGTATTTTTATAGTTAGCATCCAGCACCTGGCCGCGCCTGGTGGGTAAAGACATGTTCTCCATATTCCATCCATAAATAAAGCTGTGCCCCAGTAGTAGGGACATTCATAAGCTGATGATGATAGCTAGTGTCTCCACCATTAGGCCCGGGTGTTAGTTAATGGCCTATACTCCTAGTGCTATCCATAGGAGAAGCCTGTGCCAGCATGGGACATTAGTAGGCTGATGATGATGATGATGGGGGGTAGTACATCATACCTTGACGAGGTTGTTGACCGCCAGCGACACGGCCTGCACAGGCCGCGCCAGGTCCGGCATAGCGTTGCCATCTTCAGCTTCCTCATGAAGGATCACCAGCCGGGACACCTGGGAACATATACATTAGATATACAGTTAAATACAACACTTGGTCGGCGAAATAAAATGACAAAGTTCTGCAATCAATATGCAATGAAGCTTCGCATCCTTTTAATAGGGTATTTAACAGTATTAAAAATAAAGTGCCAATTGTTAGCATCTGTGTTTAGAATGAATATTGGCAGGGGTTTTTACTGTGTTTACAAAAAAAAATATTCATAATTTTACTAAAAACCCATGAAAAAGATAATAGTTTTCTTATCTATTGTCACGTGACCCAGAACGCTTGGGATTGGCGGAGCCTAAAATGACGTCACACGCAAGTAAACTTCCGGTTAAAGTGACATTACATTGTATCGTTTGACGTTTTAATAACAGTCGTGTGACGTCACACACTAGTAAGACGCCATATTTTCCAGGGAAACGTTTTCGCGGCAACTTGTAAATGGAGTTTTTGATTTGGTTATTTTTACTTAAATACGCAACAGAAATGATGAATATCCACTTTTTTCGGACTCCATAAACATTATTCAATAACGCGAGATCGTTTTCTAAAACTTGTCAAATACCCTATTTTCAATTATGGATCTAACGAAAGAAGTTGAAGACGGATTTGTCTTTTTAGTTTAGCATGACACAAAGTTGCTGATAGCATATCGAGAACGGGTAAGGGCGCTTGATAACGACACGACTTTTCGCCGGGTCTAGGCACGGTTTTAATCCATGTCTATGTCCAGTCATCAATTACTGGGAGACTATGGAAGTTTGTCAACACCGGCGCTAGCAACGGTTTGAGGTCGGTACAAACGTGGGAACCGTGCTTGTGAACAAAGTTTAGACGGCACTGGCCCGGGTAAAAACCGGGTAGAAATCGTCTAGTTTACAAACTCTCTAAGAGACCTCATAAGTATTTTTATAGAAAGCGCTCGAGAGAATACTTTTAGGCACCCATCTCATAGACACCGTTGTAGCAGTTGCTTATCATTCACAATAGTCTACCTCCCTTGTTGAATGAATTTCGATAAAATATCGACATTAAATCGCAGACAAAACAGTACAGACGGGAACTAAGCTGCCCGTAACTTGCAGGTTTGAACAAAGCCACGGAAATGTTGCGTTTCCTTTCTCTATTATGCTAGCTTTATATCCATCAAACTGAGGGTTGCCCACCTATCCCTATTTATTAAATATCAGTATGTATTTTCTGAGGAGCTCAATGGCGCTAATGGTTAGCGCTTTCACATGAGATCGTCGAAATTAAGGAACTCTTGCAGTGGTCATTGGATGGGTGACCAAAAATTTACTATCCGTTGGTCCCTCCTGCATCGGCAGTCGTTACCACCTATCAATCCGCATTGGGCCCACGTGTGAATGATGGCCCAATCTCCCTTTACCATCCATAAGGAGGCCTATCCGCCAGCAGTGGGTACATTAATAGGCTGATGAGATGATGGTGTATTTTCTAATTTGTAAAAAGATTTTGGAGATTTAGTCCTCACCTAGTGTTATGTTCACTACCGGCCCAAGCCGAGGGGACCGCGCAGTGGAAGTAAAGATTGTATTGTCCCAACAAATACTTCAGCTGGGCTTGGAACACAATAGCTCCTGCGATGTCGCAGGGTTTACTTAACTAACTAAATGACTTACCAAGTTGTATGTAAGTAAAGTCGTCTGTCGCTTTGGTATCTGCCTAAGAAATGGATAGGAAGGGATAGGAAGGCAGATCAATTCCTCTGGACTCTTCTCATCCAACAACCGCGCTTATAGCGATCCAAAGTAGGTTAGCACTCACACAATCAATTTCACAAATCATGTACATTACACAAACAACACTAGGATTCTTATAATTTAAGTTATTACTACAATATTACAATGAGATATCCGGTACAAACAAATCAAAGCCACATATAATCGGCGATGCAATTCGAACATGAACCTCACGAGTTCTCAAGACGCCATTACAGTGACAAAAAAAACGTTTTTACCCGCGCACGAAAAATAATTCAAATTATGCGGACACCGCACGGCAGTGAAGTTAGGGATGTGCCGTTTTATTCGTAACATCCCCCCGCCCCGGACCGTTAAGGACGGTACGTCAATCCACGGGTAATCGGGAGAGCCCACTAACTGCTCTCTTCAAAACCGAATCTCTAACCAAAACCTCAGCAACACGAGGAACTCCGTCAGTTCCTGGGTAGAGTTTAACAATGCGCCCCCTTCGCCAACACAAGGGCGGCAGGTTGGCATCCTTAATCAATACAAGGTCGCCAATCTGGGGTGGGGTTGTTTTATCTGTCCACTTCACGCGCTGTTGTAGGATATGCAAATACTCCATCGACCAACGTGCCCAGAAGTTTTGAGACATCTGTTTCAACAGTTGGTACCGCGACAAACGATGGGATCCTACATCCTGAATCGGATATTCAGGCAAAGCCAAAAGGGGCTGTCCGATCAAAAAATGGCCTGGGGTCAACGCTTCCAGGTCATTTGGGTCCGAAGACAACGGGCACAAGGGTCGCGAGTTGAGGACGGCTTCAATTTTACAACACACCGTATCAAGTTCCTCAAACGTTAGAATCGTTTCTCCTATCACGCGACGCAAATGAGTCTTGGCAGACTTTACACAAGCTTCAAAGATCCCTCCCCAGCTTGGACAAGCTGGTGGACTAAACTTCCAGATTATCCCACGCCGGGAGAGGGCGGTTCCAATGTCTATCTTATTATCAACTAGAAACTTAATTACATCCTTAAGATAATTACAAGCTCCCTTATAATTAGTTCCACAATCAGAACGTATCAATGTCGGCAGTCCTCTACGGGAAACAAATCTGCTTAGGGCAGCTATAAAAGCTTCAGTAGACAATTCCGATACAATTTCTAAGTGAACAGCCTTGGTGGATAGACACACAAATACACACAAATAAACCTTATACGTTTTAGCATTACGTAGCCTCGAAGCCTTTACAGGGAAAGGACCGGCGAAGTCGGTAGCGACTCCGGCAAAAGGTCTACATTCCGTGACGCGATCAGCAGGCAAATCTCCCATCTGGGGTTGCATAATTGCGGCTTTTAATCTATAACATGGTAAACAACGAAAAATGACTGTGCGAATAACTCGACGGGCGGACAGAATCCAGAATTCATGCTGTAAAATGGCCAACAAAGCATTACAGCCAGCGTGCTGCGCCTTCACGTGACGATCGGTTATTATCAAGCGCACCAAGTGTCCATCTTTAGGCATCAAAAGGGGGTGGCGAGCTCCATACGGCAGGTTGGCATTTCGGAGTCTTCCGCCGACTCGTACAAGACCATTCCCATCCAAGAAGGGATTCAGGCGCGACACCGCGCCCTTCAACTTGCGACGACCTGAACGCAAGATCTCAATCTCTGATTTAAAGCTATCAGACTGCACCATTCGGATCCAACACAAAAGAGCTTCTTGACGCTCATCTGGACTGAGAACCGACGAATCACGCTTTGCGCGTGGGTTCTTACAATTGTGCAGAAAACGTTTGATCCAAGCGGTAACACCAAGCAGCTTATCCAAGGAACTGTACCGATTCAACAAAAAATCCTTGTCATCGGCGGGGGAGGTCTCCAGGACGCATGCCCGCATTTCGGGAATGGCAACGTCTGACAACGCTGGAGAAGGCGGCCACTCAGACTCAGACCGCGTCAACCACTGTGGGCCCCACCAGAGAGGATGGCTAACGAGAGTTGAGGCTGCACAACCTCGAGACGCACAGTCGGCGGGATTCATGGTTCCCGGTACATGTCTCCAAATCAAGTCGACTTCCGAACTACAAATCTGTGACACTCGATTGGCAACAAAAACCTCCAATGTGTGCGCCGGAGCCTTCAACCAACAAAGGACGACCTGACTGTCGGTCCACGCAAAAACTCTCTGTATTTCTATCGACCTACCTAATGTGAGCCATACGTGGTTCAACAAACGCATCAAAAGGGCGGCTCCACACAATTCCAACCTCGGGATCGTATGACGAGTCCGAAGGGGAGCGACCTTGCTTTTTGCAATGACTAAATGCACAGAAACCAGTCCATCAACAGTGACGGTGCGTAGGTACACAGCTGCCGCAAATCCACGTTCGGAGGCATCACAGAAGCCGTGAAGGCTAGTTTTACACTTTTCAGAAGGAAGGAACATCCTCGGCAAACTCACTTCGTTAATCTCGGGGAGGGACGAAACAAAACCTGACCAATCTCGGAGTAGTTTGTCTGAGAGGGGTTCATCCCACGACGTACCCGAAGCCCATAACCGTTGCAGAAAACATTTGGCCATAAACAGCACAGGACAAATCCACCCATTGGGGTCAAAGGTACGCGCGACAGTAGACAACACCAAACGCTTGGTCCAGATTTTCGGTGGCTTCAAATCCACACAATACGTAAATGTGTCAGAGACCGGTCTATATTGTACGCCAAGGACGGTCACCATATGGGGGTTATCAACGTTTTCAAATAAATGAGGGTCCTGCTGGTGCTCTTCGGGTAAACCTTCAAGGACCTCCGGCGAGTTGGACAACCATTTCCTCAACTCGTATCCGCCGGACTTCAAAAGAGCAATCAATTCCTCTCGCAAGACCATCGCCTCTGAGACACAGGAGGCGCCAGTGCAAATGTCATCCACATACACATCACTGGTCAAAATGGCTGAGGCGCGAGGATATCTCAAGCGCTCCTTCTCCGCTAATTCCAACAAAGAACGTATCGCAATGAAAGGGCTCGAGGCCAAGCCGTACGTATTCGTGTTCAATTCATAAATCATCATGGGGCTACTAGGACTCTCTCGCCACAAAATCAGCTGATATCTTCTATCCTCGGGATGGATCACCGTCTGTCTAAACATCATCCGGATATCAGTCATAATCACAATTTTATGCCGCCGGAAGTTGGTCAAAATGTCTGAGATCTCCGTGTGCAACTTAGGACCTACATGCAGACACTGGTTCAAAGACGCTCCACTGGAGGAGGAAGCAGATCCGTCAAAG